TATTATATTATATTATTAAATTGAGAGACTCGCCGGTATATCATATTTAGAATATTTGTACATAATGTATCATCGATACAAGTTATATATACCAATATGAATATCGATAAATTTATAAGATGTTATTTATCTATAAATTAACTGACATCCTCGTGGCTGGCTGAGATTAAGCTGACATCCCATTTACTAAGCTGAGCACTTCCAGCTGAGGTCTGCGACTGCAATGAATTCGCTTTGGCCGAATGTAAGCGAGCAGCAAAACAATTTGCATTTCGTTGCGTTTGCAATTGATTTGGTTTATTTTGAATAGATTTGATTTTGATTTATAATTTCTGCATTATCAGCAGCATAGCGACTGGCGACATAGCATTTGATTGCCGAATTCGAAGTCGAATTCGAATTTGCTGACGAACGATTTTGCGGCCAGCCATCAGACACGTTCAGCTGAGGCAGCCAAACGAAATCGGGAAAAACAATGCCACAATTCTTTTTTTTTATCTTGCATATTTTTTTTTTTTTCGTTATTATTATTTTTATTATTTGTATTGCTGTTGTTGTTGTTTTCCAATTTGTCAACGCACTGCAGCTGGCTAAGGACGCGCTGCTGCTGCTCTCAGCGCACCAAGCGAAGCCGTGCAAACTCAATTACCACGCGACTCGCGCTTTGAGCCAAATTAAGAGCGAGAGAAGAAATTGCCAAAAATGAAAAAGCAACGCGGAACAGTGGAACAGTGGAAGAAGAAGTGGAGAAGGAAATCTGCAATGAAATTCCGCGCAAAATGAAAAAATAAGAAAAGAAAAGTGAAGCTCGAGCACTTGTTTTGGTCTTTGTTTGCTTCTTGGCCATTTGTTAAGCTGCACGGCCGTCGCTTTGTTATGCAAAAGAGGAAGAGGAAGCGGAAGGCGAGGAGAGAAAAGGTGACCATAAATTGTGTCAAGTGGCGCCCTTAGAGCAGCGAGCAGCGAGCATCGGGCAGCGAGCATCGGGCAGCAGCTACTCAAAGCAACTTTCGGTTCAGCTTTGAGCCGGCAATTTCTCATAATTAAAAGCAAGTTGAAGCGACGAAGCGACGGCTGCGAATTGACATAAATCACAGTAACTGCCCTCGAATGGCATTCAAGATAAGCGCTGAGTGATGTATGCAAGCTGACAAAGCGAGAGAGGGCGTGAGAGAGCGAGAAGGAGAGAGACGTGGAGAGAGGGTGTGCATGGTGCTTGCAATAACTAAATAAAACATATGCAGCCCACATCAATCATACGCACTGTGTGCAGCAACATATTAGCTGTCCCGCTCACTCACTCACTATCTCTCTCTCTCTCACTCACTCTTTATCTCTTGAAAAATAAAAATGTGAAAAATGCGACGAAATTTAAAAATGCAAATAACAGGCGCACAGCCTACGACAGCAGGCAGCATCAGCATCAGAATCAGAATCAGCTGCAGCTGCAGCTCGACAAAAGTGTCGAAAGAGCTTGAGTTGAAAATTCTTATGGAAACTGATGAAAAATGTTTGTCATGTGCAGCAGTAGTTGGGGAGTATCGGCAAAGAGATACCGGTATGTGTGTGTGTGCCTGTGTGTGTGCCACACAATTTGAAGCTGAGCAAGTGTAAAGCAAATCTGGACTAAGAAATGCCCTCGGCTCAGTTACATATAACGCACTTGACTGCCACGAACTGAACGACTCGCTGAGCACAGCTCGGCATTTACAGGGTAGGCCGTTCAAAGAGTGCAAAGTTTTGCAAGTCAAGTTCTGGCTAAATGGCAATAACGAGAATTCAGCCGAGCATCGAGCCGGAGTAGCAGGCGAACAGGCAAACAGGCAAAAGGATGTTGCCACACATGTAAGTTTCAGTTGCCATCAGTATCTCCCCCCCCCCCCTCTCACTCCCTCTCTCTCTCTCTCTTTCTCGCACTTGTCTTGGCTTGTCAGCCTATTAGGCAAGCCTGAGTCAACCAGAACTTGTGCATGTAATATAAACCAACTGGCAGCCAACTGGCAACTAAACTCAGCTCCTTCGATGCTGACGCAAACGGATTTTTTAATTAAAAGCAGCTGCAACTGAAGAAGAAGCAGCAGCGGCAGCTTCTGTCTCCATATTTTAAACATATTATGAAACGCACTAACAAATTAATACCAACGGCTATATACATATGTAGTTAGTCAACTGACGCCAGCGCCAGGATTACAATTTCATTCAAGTGAAAAATCAGCAGCTGTCAAAGAAGTCAATTGCAACAGCAAACAGATAACCGTCCGCCCAACCGACCGCCCGCCCGCCCACTCGCCCATACGCCCATGCGTCCACGCAGCCGTGCATAACTGTGGGCTGCGGCTTGCATGCTAAGCCGATTAGTTGTATAAAAACAAAAAGCGCACGCAAAAACCCGATTCAATTCGCACAACTTTCACAACAACAACAACAACAACAGCAAGTGCAACAGTAGCAGCAGCAAAAAATGATAAAGAAATTTTATCTAACGGATTATGGCAATTAGTTGGACGAGTAACAAAACGAGCTTAGATTAGTGTAAACTTACGTCATGTGTGCGTGTGCGGGTATGTGTGTGTGTGTGTGTACTCCATATACGTGCATGGGTGCACTATATGTGTATGTCTATGTATTGGTGTGGATGTGCAGCCTTCGATTCGCTGAACTTGGCAAACTTTGCTTCGGTTTTGTTCGTTTTGGTATAATACAGAATTTTGTTTGGCCAAGAGCTACACACACATACACTGTAAAAAATAACGTAGGCAATTTTCAGCTTAACTGTCTTAGCATTACTGTAAAATATAAATTTTTTAAATTTGTTTAAATAAACTTAAATTTTATTTATTTTGTGAACGTCAAAGGCTTAGAGTAAGGTTTATATATTTATTGATTTATTTTTTATTGCCCACGTTTTCCAACTTATCATGCAGACCATAAATATGGCTCTTTATGTTTTATAGGTATTTTATGATTGCGACACGGAAGCCTTCCATGCACAGGTAAGGGCAAAAGGCAGGAGTAACAGCAACAACAACAGCAACTGCGCAGTGCAAAGGCAAACAAACCATATCAGATCAACATAAGTCAACAACATGATTATTAGAATGTTTTGTTTATTTATAATTGCAATATTTACGTAAAATATGCGAAACTCCTATCAAATACAGCGCCAGCAAGCGACACTTCATTGACACAGCTCAATAACGCAGTACATAAATGCATTGCATACTTTTGGGCAGCTCGCTTATTAAAAAGTAGTTGCAATTGAATCCAATAGATGGCGCTATGCAATAAACCTCAATTACGCTTTTATGTTGCATACTTTTGTGATGATTCAGCTGATTGTTAACAGGCAAAATGAGATCGTTAGACTTGGTTTATTTATCCAAATGAAGTAAGAAAGCCAATTATTATGAATGTGATTATTTTACTAATATTCTTTTGATTGCTCTGCACAAACTGGACAATTCATAAGCAGCAATCAGGATGAAGGATTCTGAAACTCAACTAAGCTTTAGAAGAGAAAATTCGCAGAATGTTGCATAGGATGGAACCAAGGATATGGCTGTCAACTGGATATCAGTAAGGATGAGAACAAGCAGCGTAACTGCTAAAAGCCAAAACATACACGCGACTGCTGGGACTACTTTCACTTGCTGAACAAAGGAAACGCCGAACAAACAAACTACCCAAAGCGAAAACTTTCAGTATCTGTGAGACCCTTTCGCATCCTTTTGCGCTGACTTATTATTTTAGGCAGCAACAAATTGGATTTGATTGGCAATTTGTTTATTTTTAATTCAGTCTGACGACCTTTCTTAATAAATTAGTTGGCTAAAGTCGGAGCACTCAACGGAAAAAAAGGTCGCACAGCAACAAAATCCAGATCATTTCAGTAATTTAAGAGACTCCGGAAAATACAAAAAAAAAACTGCCGTAAAAAGGCTGAAGTTAAAGCTATCTTTAGCTTGTTTTCATTTTTGACGAAGCTGCTCGTACAGTAAGCTCATTTATATGGCAAATTGCGTATACGCCGCGTAAATCATTCCAGTTAAGCTCGGCGCCTCGTCGATCCTTAAAAATACAAATTGCAATTGGCCAACCGGCAGCGCCGCCGTCTGATTGACGTTAGCCGTAAATATTGCACTTAATGCAATTAACTTGCCCAGGCCCAGGTCAGGCAATATACCCTGTGGACAGCTGCAAAGGCGGGGTATGTTGATAATAATAATAACAATAATATTTCGGTTTTTTTTTTCTAGTTTATATTATTAGAATATCTTTTTGGTTTCTACATATATTTATCTTAAGTGTTAGCCCTTTTGTTAGGTGCCCAGATATCCGACGACTTAGTTTAGCTTTAGCTACGCGACTAAAGCCTCAAGCTATAGACTCCTTTAGTAATCTTGAATTTACCAGCTTTTAGTTGTGCAACAAATGCCAAAAGCTTCAATTTCTCCCTCTCTCTCCCCCTCTCCCTCTCGCTTTCTCTCTCTATCTCTTAACTATTTACACTTAGGCTTAAACTACAAATGCATCTTTGGTCC